CTTCAGACAAAAACCTCCGGCTCTTTAACAACAGACACTGAAATAAGTTTAATTTAAACAGCTGAGACAAATGTTTTATTGTTAAAAGTATTTTCATCTCTTGACTTTCCAAAAAAAAGCATGAGATCTGCTCTAATCTAACAGATAACAAATTAATTACCTGGTTCCTGAAATATAAAACTAATGAGCAGGACTGAACACGTTCCTCAGGATCTGGGTTTGTGTTTTTGCTGATTTGGTGATTTCACGTCATGATTTTCTTTTGTTTAGTTTGTTTCCTGTTGAACATTTAATTCTGGTTTGTTTATGTTTAATTTCAAAAGTTCCAAACTCCAAACTTCTTACCTCCGATTCCCAAGGCCCCAACGACTTTCTTCTTCTACTCTCCACTTCCTCTCCTCCCTCCGTCTCCGCTTCATTTTCCTCCTCCTCCATCTCCTCCTCTGATATTTTGTCAGTTTCCGCCTCCTCCTCCTCCTCTTCATCCTCCTGTATGTCCGTCATTCCCGTAGTCGTGCCAACAACCGTGGTCAGAGTCGTTACCGTCGTTACCACCGTCTCCTGGAAAGACTCTTCTTCTTCTCTCTTGACTGTCGTAACATTTTCGATCTCTCCGTCCGACACCACAGCAGCAGGCGCCTCCTCTTCCTCCATGTCGGTCACCTCTGAGGTCAAAGGACAGTTAATGTTTAACTTTCAGTTTAATCCTTTTCCTTTTTATTTATGTAACACATGAAAAACACAATTAAAACGAACTCCAGGATTCCAGCAGGATTATGAAATAGAAAGCAACATGACCTTCCTTATCTAGAAAAAAAAGAAAGAGTTAAGAGGCAAGTGTGAGGTCTGGTTTCATGTGATGACGTAGGAAGTAGTGGGGGTGGGGTTAGCATTGTTAGCATGGTTAGCATGGCTGTGGCGTTGGTAGACAGAGCGAACAACACTGGAGGGAACTATCTTCTCTTGTGTCGTGATGGTAAACGTCTCACAGGCCGCAGATCTGGACCTGAACTTCAAGGCTGTGACTCTCTAACCCTAACCTCCATGTTTTTATGATCGACTTCATGTTGACGACTTGGCCCGCTAATGGCTTCCTCAAAGTCACGGTCGCCATGTGATCTCCTACATGTCAAGGTCACCTTTCCATACGCATCAGTCTCCCACGTTAGGTTTCTCCTCAGCTCCTTCCTCTCAGATCCCTGAAGGTCTCGTCTCCCTGTCAGCAGAGACCTCTGAATGTTGGAGACTTTTACCAACCTCCCCTCAATCATCTTCTAAAGCTCCGGCCCGGCGTTAGCTCGTTAGCTTAGTCCTGTCTCGTCCTCTTTCCTCAGTGTTGCACTCACCTTGTACAGTCTGTGGTCTTTGCCTCGATAAATTTTCCTTTTGGTTTTGTCAACTTCAGCTTCCCAAACGGGTTCTGTAAGACGTCCTCAGTGTCGTGGTCTCTGTGTCTTCCTCTGGATGTCTTGGATGCTCTTTGAGTTCCTGAGATTCTTCGTCAACCTTTAAGCTTCTTGTTTTACAGTTAATTTAAAGTACGAACCTGTGAACGACTGAACTGTCCGGTCTAGTCTCCGACTGTCTCCTGTCTCCTGGGTGTGGGTTCTCTGGGTTCTTCTTATCACTTTACCTTCCACATTTAGCCCTCTACTCAAGACCTTATCGCCAACGTGCCCTTCATCCCAACCACAGTGCCAGTGTGTGTGTGTGTGTGTGTGTGTGTGTGTGTGTGTGCTACTGAAGCAAAGGCTGGGGGGTACATACTGTATGAATGTGTCACTGTGGTCTGTTTGTTAAAGTGTGTGTAGGTTGAGATGTTGGAGATGAGTTCAGAGAGAGTGTCATACGCTGGGAGGAATGTACCACCACACACACACACACACACACACACACACACACACACACACACACACACACACACACACACACACACGTCTTTGCTTTCCAGTCTTCAGTGTTTCCTCAGTGTAAATTTTGTTATTTCCTCAGTTCCTGTTATTATTGTCTAAAAGTGCCATTTAAAAATAGTCTGATTGACTGATTGATCAAATTAGTAATAATCATTTGAATATTCTTGAATAAATTAAGGTCACATTGCCTCGTCCGTCTGTATCTTCTAGGTGAAAGTCATGTCATGTGACTTGGCCACGTTCCTGAGGTGTGAAGCAACACACACTAACAGGAGGAGGTGGGGGGGTCATATCCTGTGTGTGTGATTGGTCACTTCAGATTCCATATCCCATGACTGTAGAGACCAATGATTTGCCAGTATGAGGGTGAGAGGCAGCAGGGAGTCTGGCAGCGGGATCAGGGTGTCAGATGGCTGTAAAGATAAACAGGACGCCGACCGGAGCAGATCTGACTGTCTCTGAGCCAAATGATAATCTGCTGCTCCGCTGGTCCACCACACACACACACACACACACACACACACACACACACACACACACACACACACACACACACACACACACACACCACAGGTTGACACAACAACAGCAGAACACAGGTACACCATTCACATTCATAAACACATGCAGACCTCAAACAGGAAGAGATAAACACAGATATAAGAGTGAATGAGCTCCAGGCTAATGTTACTCATTCTGGGCATTCTGGGAAATGTAGGATGCCTTTTTGAATGCAGCTGAGGAAATGAAGACAGAGGAGGAAGAGCAGGGAACCAATTCATTCATTCATACAGATGTCACAGACCTGCGAGCGCTCGCCAGCATCAGCTCTAGATTTAATGTAGTTCCTCGTTTACATGCATTTATGAAACTGGGTTACAGTCAGTTTGTTCTTCCTAACTACATGGATGTTGAGCTGAGCTGGAGAACAGGAGTCTGGACTTTTACTTTCTCCTTTAATTCCTGAATCTAGTTGCTGTGGCTCTTTAGTAGCTGGAAGTATTCGGTCTAAGCCGGTCAGTAAACTGTAAGAAGGAGCTCTTGTTAACTGCTGACGTCTTCAGGGCCTTTTCTTCTTTCTTATTCCTCCAACTTCTCCACCACAGCCAGCTCAGCTGTGATACTCAGTCCTTTTGATTTTCCCTGCGCGCACAAATCTGCTTAAAAACACACCAATAAAACATAAAAACACCGATCAATCCTCACTCATTCAGGCACCAACTAATTAATAAGGTCTTTAAACACGTCATGGGTTTAGTGGCCTGAATAACAGCTGAGTCCTGCCAGTTGAATCCTGGCTGCGGCTCCTGCCTGCAGTCACCACCGTCTCACCCAGCATCACAGTAAACAAGGCTCCCCGCAGAATCTAAACCTCTCTCCTCTAAATTGGGAGACACAGTTTTTATAAGTGGTAAAAAGCTGCCTCACTGACCAGGAGCTCTCTCTCTCTCTCTCTCTCTCTCTGTCTCTCTGTCTCTCTCTCTCTCTCTCTCTCTCTCTCTCTCTCTCTCTCTCTCTCCTTCTCTCTCTCTCTGTCTCTCTCTCTCTGTCTCTCTCTCTCTCTCTCTCTCTCTCTCTCTCTCTCTCTCTCTCTCTCTCTCTCTCTCTCTCTCTATCTCTCTGTCTCTCTCTCTCTCCCTCTCCCTCTCTCCCTCCCTCAGATCTTGTTAATGAATTCTGAAACACAAAGCTTTTCCTGGGAGAAATCCCTGTGATCTTGTCCTGATGTGAACCAGCTTCAGTGGCAGCCGCAGCTCAGAGGAAATAACACTCTTCTCTTCAGGCTTTTCGGACTTTGTGAAACAGATTTCTGTTTTTTTATTTTTTTATTTTTTTTTAACTGAATCCAAATCCAGAGAAAAACATTTTCTTAAGATCAGAAAGCTTTTAAACCCAGAGCTGTGAAACTGAGGATCAGGGAGACAGGCTCCAATTTACAAATCAAATCATTAAAGATAATGAGACACCTGCAGAAGTTCATTTCATTAATTTAATATTATTTTGTGCTGGTTTTTGTTGAGTTTCTTATTCAACAAGCAAACAGAAATCCCCCTCTGTATTCCACCTCCCTCACTTCCTCCTCCTCTTCTTCTTTCATCTCCAGGTCAGCCTCCAGAGGAGCTGGGTGATAAAATAAAAATGTGTGGGCTGTTTGAATGTCAAACCGTTTGAGAGCGAGGCGATATGTGTGTGTGTGTGTGTGTGTGTGTGTGTGTGTGTGTGTGTGTATTAATTAACGCCGGGCAAACGAGGAGAGGGAATCTGTGGCGTATTAACGCGGCGGAATGATGCGATCACCCGGTCAGGTAAACAGAGGTGGGAGGAGAGGGGGGAGAGCGGAGGACAGAGAGGGAGGAGAGGAGAAAAAAAGAGCGGGAATAAACAGAAAGAGAAAAGACGGGAAAACAAAAGCAAACAATCGAGAAGGAGCAGGTGCACAATGAGACTCTACCTTAGCATCATCTGCTGAGGGTCACTGGGTCATCAGCACACACATGGGTCCAGCACCTGCACACACACACACACACACACACACACACACACACACACACACTCACACACATCACAGCCACATGAATATTTTCTTCTTGTAGGTCATAAACATATAAATAAAACATGCTGGTAACCATAGCAACAGCGCTGATGCTTCAGGCTCCACTGGCGAAACTAACCGAACCACAGCTCAAAGTTTAACCACATCCCACTTTCTTTATTTGTATTAAAAACCAAAACACACTGTGCTTTACTCGATACCCAATACCCAATAATCATGTATCAATACTCGTAGTTAAATCATCAAATTCAACAAATAAAATTCATCACTTACACTGATGAAGAAGAAGAAGCTCCTCTTCAAACGGCTGATGTCAGCATCACTGGAGGGCTCCATGGTGTGTGTGTGTGTGTGTGTGTGTGTGTGTAAGAAAGAGAGATTGTGCTCACTGACCAAAGTTCACCCCGTCACACATTTCACATCACACACACACACACACACTCACATATCAAACACCAGGACAAACGGGAACATGATCTGTGTGTGTGTGTGTGTGTGTGTGTGTGTGTGTGTGTGTGTGTGTGTACACATACGTTACTGATCTGCTCCTGAGTCCTTCTGAGTCTTTGCATCTCTGGAGTGTCGGACACGATGCTGAACCCTCGACCTTTACTCTCCTCAAAGTCCTTCTTGTACTTCACCTGCAGGAGAGAGAGAGAGAGAGAGAGAGAGAGAGAGAGAGAGAGAGAGAGAGAGAGAGAGAGACATGAACTACAGTAGCTTGACGGTGATAAATGATCATTTAGAATCAGAGCACACAGGCCAAGCTTCACATTTCTCAGTTTCTGTCCGTCCGTTGTGTTGTGTCACAACCCCAGAGTTTTCAAAATAAAACTCTACCCCTGAGTTTTCAAAATAAAACAGGTCCAGCAGCGTTTCTGAAAGTCTCTGTTTTATGAGTCGTGTGGACGCCAGCAGGAAACGCAGCAGAAGAGATGCGCTTTAAAGCTAAAACGTAGAAGTGTGGACGGAGCTTATGACTAGGCTTCTACTGTAACAGCTGCATAAAATGTTAATTGCAATTATTTGTATCACAATAAAATCCAGTGATCATGATCGCTGCCGTTTTGTACCAACATTACGGAGAGAGAGGAGGAGGAGACCGGAGCGCTCTGCAGAGGTGAGAGGCTGCACTCGTTACCTGCTTCATGAACTAATTAAAGGGAGATCTAGAGCTCACATCACGGTGATGATACAGGAACCTGAAGGTGGATTGTACTCGTGAATGTGCCCACACAGCAGAAATAATTACAGCTCAGCTTCACACAGCGTGAACAGAACTTTAGACGTACTATAATTTCTCCATCATACAGGCTGAACAGAGATACGACTCAAACACTGACTCTCACCTTTGTTCACGAGTCATGGTCCCACAGAAGGTTATTTAAAGTCCCAACAGAATCCAGGCTGTGTGTTTAACCTCAGTCCTCTCTGGCATCGAACCGTCACATCCTCATTTATTCTTTGATGAGAGACGCCCAGATTTTGATCCAGTTTATTGTAAGTTTTAGTGTCTTTTAAAATGATGCATTTGAGAAGTTTTGTTTTATTTTGTTAAATATCTCACAAAGTAAGAGCTGATGGTCCCAGTGCTGAAACTCAGATATCTGATGACATCTGTAGAATTAAAAGTAATACCAACCTCCTACTAATATTAAACATTATTCACTGAATTATCCTGATTCATTTTAAACGTAATTATAATCACATCTAGAATAATCCGGGCTTCCAGAGGATCCTGATCACAGATCTGTGGAACGAGACAGGACCTCCGCCTCGCTGCTGCGTCACTGTCAAACAGCAGCAGAGCGGCCGGCGGTCATCTCCGACTCGGCTCCTTCAGTCTGACCTTCAGAGGAAACACTGCACCTCATTTACCTTTAATGTCGTCCTGCTGGTGTCTATCAGTCATCAGTAACAGCCCATTAGCCTTCACAACACAGTTACATAAGGCTGTAAACTGCAGAAGTATGACTCAGACAGAGTGTGTGTGTGTGTGTGTGTGTGTGTGTGTGTGTGTGTGTGTGTGTGTGTGTGTGTGTGTGCTCTGGTATTCTGCTCTCACAGTGATTGTCCCCGTTTTCACCACAAAGCAGATTAAATCCCCATTCATCAGCCGTGAGCTCCCTGCTGAGATAATATGACAAGCTAACGAGCTAAACCACACACACACACACACACACACACACACACACACACACACACACACACACACACAGGAAAGTAGCTGATGCTGCGTACACACTTACACCTACAGAGGGTGGGAATAATGAAAATCCAAGCAGGCAAACTGACATCCTGTTTAGTTTGGTGCTCTGTAGTGAGACAGAGTCGCTGCAGCGGCGACTTTTACTGGTGTAGATAGTGGAGGAAGAGGAAGAGGAAGAGGAAGAAGAGGAGATAGCTGATGGACGTTTGATGCTTGAACAACGTTGGAAGATCGAAAGTGTGTATGGTAGTTCCCAATGAAAGACACAAAGAAAGAAAGAAATAAAGAAGCTTGATTGAGACAGAACAAATGAATGTGTAAATCTCTGCTCTGTAAATGACAAACTGCTAATAAATGGATCTTTATGAGGGCAAAGCAGGACACACACACACACACACACACACGCACACACACCCAGCACCACACACTACAACATCCCCCCGAAGACACACACACACACACACACGTCGCATGACAAACAGCACGTTCACTACTGCAGACTGCTGAGTGGACATCTGTCCTTTTGTACTGTAGTCTGCTAGGCTGACACACACACACACACACACACACACACACACACACACACACACACACACACACACACACACACACGCAGCATGAGGACATATGGCGGAGAGGTGTAGCTGGTTGACGGTCTCATACGTGTCCTTTGCATCAGTAAATCAGCACAGTGAAGCAGAACCGTCAGAGCAGCTTCTACCGACACACCTGAGCGTTTGTTTCGACCTCCGGGCGCTGCCAGAGGGGCGGGGTCATGAGCCAGAGAGCTGCTTTAGAGACGTGCCGGTCGGACAGACGCTGTGAACTTTACAGAAATTAAACTAAAAGGATCTGAATGTTTTTGTGTACACATTCAGTCTGAAATAAAATAAAAATACATTAAAGGACCAAGTCTCAGGTTTATATCAATATAGAACAAACTGTGGGAAGCAGGGTCACATGATTCGCATGTGATTAGGACAAAGTTTGTTTCTATTGCACCATTTCATCAATACACTGACTTTGTTTTTCATTTTTTATTTTCAGCATTTCCACTGAGCAAACCTGCTCCGTTTGATTCCAGAGAAGAAGAAAAGGAAGCTGGCAGGGGAGAGCGAGGAGAGGACTGTGAGCGACAGCGGGACACACTGACATGATCAGAGGAGGTCAGAGATGACGGCTGCCGTCACCTGAGTGTGTGTTTACCTGGCTCTGCAGCTCGCTCTGCTGCCTCAGTCTCAGGTTCTCCGGTGTGTCGGCCACGATGGTGAACGATGTCTTGGGGTAATGTCTGAAAACAGAGAGAGCACGGTCACTATTAACTTTTCATCAACACAGAAACACCAAGGGCTGTAAACACAGACTCACACCCCCTTTCCTTTTATTAATTATTCTATGTACCATGTGTGATATTCTATTTTAAATTAGGCAAATTTGACTTGATTTGATGAATAATTTACTTTCTGTTTTGTGTTTCTGTCACTAGATAAACTCCTAACTGCTCACAGAAACATGAACATGGACATATGATGCAAGCTGATTAAAAACCTCCCATCTCCAACTTGTGGAGGTCACGTTCACATTTTCCAAACATTTCTGCAACTCTCATGAATTTTCGATCTTAAATGCACTTTTACACTCACCAAGCTGGTAGCTGTTTATTCTTATGGAAATGAGCCAAATATTTAAAAAAGAAAAAGAAAAAGAAAAAGCTTCTTTTTAAGTTTAAAACAAAGACATTGATCTCCTTCTTACAGCACTCTGTGAACCATTCATAACCTTTCTCTCGCTCTGTATTCAGTTCACTTTAACAATAAAGGCTGCAGCCTGAAAAATGTCAGAGCCCTTCCCATGCTGAGAATAACCCCAGCGAGTTAATGACCCACCAGGTCCATGACATCAGCAGAAACAATGATCCATTCAGAAGACTAAAATTAAAAAGCAACACCCTGCCATAACTCTCATTATCTCACTTGACCTTTGGGTCTCCTGTTAACGCTCTGAAAATATACATTTTGTCTCTGTACGCTCTGTAAAAACAGCATCAGTGAGTCTGGATTCAAAGCCTTTGTCTGCAGGAACATACAACATGAAGGACAATGGAGCTGCTGCTGGATCTGAGAGACCTCAGTACAACGTGGGTGGATGGGAGACGGAGGTGGGAAACACTCCCACACTCCACCGCCAGGAAACTTTAAAGGGATATTTATTCTCGCCAGTGTTTATAGACCAGGAAGAGAAACCCTCAGTGATATTTAAAGGTCCCATCCAATGTAAAGGTCTGTGTCCATGTGTAGTGTGATTATAGATCAGCTCTAGCTTCTATATTAATACTGTGAAAGTATCAAAGCCTCAGTCCACAGAGAAATGCACACAGCCTGTATTCAGAAACTGAGCCTTAAAACCAGCCGTCAGGACTTCTGGAACTTTGTGATGTCACAACAAAGCAGTCACCAAGGGGGTCCAGGTGGTATCTCTTTTTTTTTTTTTATTATTATATATTTTTATGCCTTTATTTGACAGGACAGTAGAGAGACAGGAAATGGGGTGGCAGAGAGGGGGAATGACATGCAGCAAGGTCTGTCCGATGCAGGACTCGAACCGGGGCCGACTGCAGCGAGGACTGTGGCCTCTACACACGGAGCGCCTGCTTAGACCACTACGCCACACGACGCCCCAGGATTTGGTTTCTCTGAGTGTTTTTACCTGAAATCTGCTATATTTTTATTGGATCCCTCAGAAAATCGTTCTGATTGGCTCACCGACCTGTTGTTACTAGAGAGAGAGAAGCCTGAGAGAGGAGATGTAAAACTACACTGAGATGGTTTAAATATATCTTCCTATGAATCAACACTTCAAATAAAACACAGAAGAAGAAAATATGGAGCTTTAAGATCATTGATCAACTGTTTGTCGAGCATAAATATCAACCAATAATAAAAAGATTAATCAACAACACTTAAGTACTTGTTGTAGCATTATATTCAGCTTCTTGTCACCTGGTGACTGACTGACTCATACTGACAACTGCCGCCCATGTTAATGGCTCACTTGTGGAGCTGCCTTTGTAGCTGTGATGTGCAGTGGGCAGACGAAACAGAAAACATGACATGAAAAAGAATATTGAACAAAGAAGGAAGTGAATCACTGACACAAAGGTAACAAGAGAAACATGAGTCATTTGAAGATCTGTAAAGAAACCTCAAACCGACACCGTGTGTCAAAAACAAACACTGTGTTAGCGAAAGGAACAACACTCCGTCACAGACGTCCTTCACTTGAACTCACTTTATTAAGACAACGTTTTGCTCCTCACACCTTCATCAGGCTAAAACCAAACAGATGGCAGCAACAGTTACCTACAGAATCACGTCCTCTGTAGCGATTTTGCCTACAAAATAAAAGCGCAAGAGAGTTTGAATTTTTTGCAGCCTTGTTTTATTTCAATCTATTGTGTTCTTTTATTGAGAAAAGTTCTGACAGGAAGTTACTTTACTGTATATGTTTGCATGGAGCTGTTAATGATGATGAAGGTGTGCAAACAGAAACAACCTCTTAATAAAGAGAGGTTTTTGATCTTGCACACCTGTCACTAACACTTTATAATGTGTGTATAATTTTTTGAACATGAAATGAGTGAAATGACAAAAATCCAGGGTCACGTCGAGTCGTGTACCTGCTGGTCATGTGTGTGATGCAGATCAGAGACAATAGAGGAGGAGAGTCCACTCGCTCTGAGCAGGTTTGCTCTGAGTTGGCTGATTCATAAAGCTTGGAAGTCTGTGTGTGTGTGTGTGTGTGTGTGTGTGTGTATCATCAATGCCAGCAGCATATTCAGCGGCACAGTTTGACCACTCCACTGAACTGTCCTTCACTCCTCTCTTCCTCCCACTTCGATTCTTTCTTCCTCCCACTCTCATCCTCTCTCTCTCCTCTCCCACACACACTCCCTCCCTCTCCCTCTCTCTCTCTCTCTCGTAGACAGTCAGTATTTAAAGGGATGCTCTGCTCCTATAGTACAGTACCCACGCAGGACGGAGCCTTTCTAAAAACGTAGCAGGTGAACTCGATGGAGATGAACACGGCAGCATGAAGACATTACAACAAAATAATACCAAATTACAAAACTACTCACAGCCTCAGCAGTTCTGTTAAACCTGGCTGTGCTGTTCGCTCGTTCAGCTCAGCTCAGTGGATTTTAAATTCAGTCTTTATGGATTAAAAACACTATTTTGTCTCTGGGTTTAGTTCCGTGAATGTGCGAATATTTCCCTAAAAATGTTCTACAGTGTGCGGCAATGTGATGTTGATCCTTTATTGGCCTGAAATTGAAGTTATCTTGCCAACAACACAGCAGAGAAAAACAAGAGTTAGAGGAGTACGATCTTTACACTTTGCAGGAGGCATGTGCACGTATAAAGACATATACGTTGTGCACCAGCTTAAAGATTCCCTGTGGAGTTTTTGGTAGCAATGTGGAGCCGTCTTTTTATGGGCAGATTCCAATTTTGCATGCATGTTGTGCACACAAAAATACCTGCAGAACTCGCTCTAGTCGATCATTAATCAATTATTATCTGACCAACAGTCAGAACCTAAAGATATGAAGATTATCATCATCTATGACGAAGAAAAACATCAAATCTTCACATTTAAGGAGCTGGAACTGAGAGATTTTTGGACTTTTTCTTTGTCGAGGCTCTAATCAATGAATTGATGATTTGTTTGGCGAGTTTCATTGGGGGAGGAGCTCTCACTGATCAGACTCTACACACTCATGGCACTGAGGTCAGAGCCTGAGACACTGTGAGCTGTCCTGTGTTAAACTGTACACACCGTCTAACCCTGGAGGTCAACCACAACACACAGCCAATGATAGAAACCTAATACACACACACACACACACACACACACACACACACACACACACACACACAGTCAAACCTGAACAGCTGATTCACCTCAGTCACCTGACACCACACTGTGCTCTTATAGTTTTATATTTCACATGCAAAACGCTGCAACAGCCCAGTTTATAAATAACTCCTGTTGTTGTGGATGTTTTGTTCCCGTCTCTGTTTTCACCCAACAATTATAACGACGACGACGATGATGATGATGATGATGATGATGATGATGGGGCCAAGAACAGTCTGCTGTGGTCTGCACATGTCTGTGTCTTTTAACTGATAATTAGTAGGTGCTCATAAACAGTCATCATGATGTCTGTCTGTCTGTCTCAGTGTGTTTGGCTCCACATTCCGTGTCGGTCTACGACCATAATGAGTTTATTAAAGTCAGGAAAACCCACACAAAGCAACACACAGAGGATCCCTTTAATCTGTGACATCTGACTGTTTGTGTGTGTGTTTGTTTTTAGAGGAAATATGATTTACATGTGCAACAGCAACTCTTAACAACAAAACCTCTGACAAAGTTAAAAACTATCTGCCACATAACTTATTGTTGTGTATAAACTATAGAGATTACTCTATAGCATCATGTTTTATTGTCTCCTTGTCCATCTTCTTATCATTATCATTTGCCACCTTACAGCAGCACTGCTGAGTTACACTTGGTGGAGGACGCAGGTAACTGTCGGCCATCTTATCACCAATAGAAAATAAAGCAGCTGCTCAACCACACAAACATTTTAAAGCTCCATATTTTACACTTTCAACATAAAACATGATCCTGCTGCAGGATTCACATTGTTCCAGCAGCTTCTGGAGAATCATCAGTGATTTAAAAATCAACAACTGCAGATTACACGCTCTCAAAAAGGTGAAATTAGGCTGTTAAACTTCAACAAGAACTAAAGGAGCAAGTCATGTTAAAATAATAACTGTAGTTAAATGGAGTTGAATCTAAAGTCAGTGACAAAAAGCTGTCGTCAGCATGTCTCTGATTCTTCTTCTCCACCTCCTTCTGTTTCAGCTTTTCTCCTCTGAGTCAAACTTTCTCTTTTATTTCCTATTTCCTCTGAAAGTCTCACCCAGACCGTCTTTTCCTGAGACACAGAAAGACTTCCTGTAGAGGTTTAGTTCGCTTGTCAGAGACCACGAAGGAAAAACACAACATGATATGTGTGTGTGTGTGTGTTGTTTCACTTCTGCTACTCTTAGTTTTGTCTTATATAAACACACACACGCGCACACACATGCACACACACACACAAACTAATTTCGTCCTTAAGTTTCACTTCACCTGCTCCCGTCGCTACTGGCAACCATGGATGCTTTGTTCGTTTGGTGCAACCCAATCCTTTGAGACAAAGACCGGCTCTGTGTG